GAAAATATATACGGTAAATCATTGGTTTACCATAAAAACCTCATTGACGTTATTGGCCAACCCTAGCGGCAGTATGTCACGTCTAATTGACAGGTGCTAGTGACCACAGCTCTGGCCAGCCAATCACAGCCCAGCGGCGACATCAAAGCGATTAAATGACGCTTGGGGCCAGCCTTTGACATAATATGCGTCTTCTCATCTGTTACAGCTAGAGTTTTTTCATTTCATAACTTATGGAAAATAACATACATAAAGTATTGAAGAAGGGTTTAGTTAACATAACAGGTTGCTGTTAGGACATCCGAAAATCGTAAATTGATCAACATTTGGTCGACCCGAGAATCAAACTCGAGGTAGTCGCACTTACTGTCACTCGAACATGTAAATTTTTCCCTCAATGGTCTCTAGTGATTTTTAGGATTAGAATTTACTTCTACACATGGAGTATAATTCCATACTTTGTGCTTTTACATTCGTAAAAGATGTTATGAAATGTTGTTAGGATTCCCTAATAACATAACATCACGCCTTTTATCCCCGAAGACACCTTCGGGGACCACCTGCGTACACACGCAGAGGTCCATAATTGCAGCACTTAATTCCAATGTACAATGTAACACTCACTTTTCACTATTTATGTTATGAGTCCCATATAATAGGGGCTCAGCCTATTGCCATATACCGGGTATATACCTCTAAGTAATTCCAGACTCCGTGCTACAACTGAGATTTTTTTAAAAACCCAGTAGTTTAGTAGTAGTAGGAATCGAATTCAAATATTTTTATATTATTTATTTATTTATCTTATTTATAAATCTCTAGGCAGTGTATAATATATCACTAAGTGGAATCTATATTTAGGTAGAATATACATATATTGTCGGCACAGAAACTGAATCTCAAACCTCTTGGCCAGCAGTCGCTAGTACCCACTTGACCGTAACACATACATTCATTTATTTACCTGAATTAAAATTAACCCTCAATTTTCAAAACCAGAAACGATACCCTACCATAAAATAAATTATTATCAATTTTAGTATCCATTATTATATGTATAGAGAGGTGAGCAGCGAGCATCGAAACAAATAAAATGCTTGAAATAATATCCGTTGTTATCTCGACAAGTTCCAACAATTATTAAACTTGCGCTCGTCCCGTTATCGGCAGGATACCGACCGCTTCCATTGTCATACGACACGATAATGTTTTACAAATTTCATTAATTTGTGTCCGTAAAATTATTATTCATTCATTTTTCAAATGCTTATAAAGACTGTGTAGCGGATTCGATTCCTGCACGGAGTAACTCTTTGAGGAGATCCACAATTTGTTATTCCGGGTCTGGCTGTGATGTGTATTGTATGTGAACTTAATATTATGTTTGTGTGCGGTTACAACACAGGAAAATTCTAGTGAGCCGCAAAATTTATTTAAAAAAATTGTGCTATTTTAGAAAGTAATATGATGTTGGTAATTTCTTTTGCAAGAAGACGTAATAGGTTTAAAACACCCATCACAAATAATGCATATTTTTACATAAAACAGCATACACTGTAAAATGCCTTTTACTTGGCGTTTTTATAACAAAGTAATGTAGACTTTGTTCACGTATGCGAATAAAATATTCGTGCCCTTGACACGAGAAATATCGAACCCTGACCTTTCCGTAATTCGATATTACTTTACATCCGACGCTAAATAATTCCTCATTCATTCTTTTTCGAAAGGGCGTAAGAGTTCAAGTGATTTATTTCAGTAAAGCTGGAGATTTCAGCGAATAACTTTTTCAATTAAGATAATTATTTTGATCTGAAAAATCCGTCCACTCAGTTATATCTCGTCTTGAAATTATGGCAGTCTCCGGTCGAGTGTTAGAATGCTGGAGACATGAACTCAGTGTTGCTATTTATTTAAATATGTTGTGTTATAAGGCAATAACACATGTTAAACTGGTTGATATATATTATGTTTTGTAATTAACGGTTTGCAATTACTTATATTCAAATGAATTAATCAATTTACGATCAGATTTACCTTTAATTCAACTTTAAATTTCATAAATATGCGCACCTTTCTATGAAACACGTTGGTAAATGAAGCAAGTACTCGTATTTACGAGGTATTTCATTTTAATTGTATTTATCCACAAATTGTTTAAAGGTGAAGTACAATATTATAGGTTTTACCTGTTATATTGCCGATTTCTCTGAAAAATTTAAACGATTTTTTTCATGATATTTTTAGTTGTAATATATTTTAATTTATACTTTGCCTACAAACAAAGAAACATATTTTTTATGCCGTAAAAGAGTGAACTAGTCAGTCAAACTTGTAAATTCTGCTAGCTAAAAAAAGTATAAACAATATCGTACCGTCCCAAACAATGGGCACACCAAAAAATTAACATATTATCATAGTTTTTAGACATTTTGTCCCTCGCTGTCCTCTTTATAGTGCTGTCGAACAAACGGCGGTTATCTGCCGTAACAAGATAGCGGCCCTCCCTCCCCGCCCTCTCAGCCTGAGGGGAGGGCGCGATTTACTGGCTCTTCATGCAGGGAGGAAATTGATTCGTGACTTATTTGCTGAATTCATATCATTTCTATATCATGAAAGATGTATGATTTAGGTATGTATGGCTGCTTTTGTGTTCCCTTTGTACTGCGGTCTGATGTCACTTTTGGATATTTTTATGCGTCTTGTTTGCGTGACGGATTTATTTGTAGTTTTTAATAAGGTGAACGTTCTGTAGTTCTGGAAGGTTTGAAGATTCTGTCGGTTCGGAAACACCATAGAATAGAGTTTTTTATAGGGTAAGTCGGCAAACGAGCAGAAGGATCACCTGAGGGTAAGCAATCGGTTCCGCCAATGGGCCCACGAAACACCAAAGGATTTCATTCCACTGGTGTTTAACTGATGCTACTGTAATGGATTATGCCTGTAAAGTATTTAGACCTGGCAATCAGTTTCCAATTATTAGATCTTTTAAATTTGTTACTAAGTACATTGATTTGTAAACATAGCATAGTTTTTATCACTGTAACCTCACGATACGGGCACTGTACGCCTAAAACTCCTATGGGGTTGTTTATTGTTAAAACCACTAAAATAAATCAATTTCACACTAAATATTACCTAGGCCCTGAATCCATTCTGATGGCTTTTCTTACAGCCGTGGAATATACCTTGGTAAAGACTAATTCCAAAACCCAATTTCTACCAGTAGTCATGTTTTTACACGGACCAAACCACAAGTCACAGCTAGTTATTTGTAATTGACGTGTCACTGGCGTGTCTATGTCCAGCAGTAGACGAACCCAGGGTGATGATGACGATGATGAATAAGATTCCTCGGTATAAATAATGTTTTATTAATATTTTTTTTAAATATGTGTTCCAGTAAACGAGCTATAGTACCTACAGTGACGTCCACCAAACATACGCGTGCGACGACTTCAGTTACGCGCATTAAATACATTTTTAATATTAAAACAATGATTAAAATATATGTTAGTTCCACTTGGTTTGCTTTTTGATTAAGTAAATGGATTTAGCGAGGCAGTCTCTAACTCTTTAACTAGAATTTTTATATTTTACAATAAAATAACATAAAGCCTTTTAATCACGGAGTGTTGTGCAACGGCAGTAGAATGAATAGATTTTAGATATGGCTACTGAACCACGAAACACTTTTTTTTTGTCGACCCCAAGGTGGAAATCCTAATGGAGCTCACTCGCCTGGGGCGGACGAAAGGGACTGTTAGACTCTTATTGACTAAAACCCACCCCGGTGTCCCGTCTCACACGTGGGTACGAAGGTGCGGGAGTCACAGAGCCCCTAACTACTCGCTTAGAGCGTTGACACATTTTTTTAATAATATGAGTATACTATGAGTTTCTAGAGCCGACATAACATGTCAGGATTTATTAAAAGTTTCAAAGCAAAGTACAAAGATATTTTGTTTCCATCATTATTCGTATCTACAGGAAATTAGGTAAACTTTAACATTTCCTCGTGGATTCTAAAACAATCTTGCGTGATGTTAATTGAATCACTCAATTACAATTAACGTGTTAATATCCAAGACATATCGATTAATTTCCGAGCTAATTAACGCTGAGTACGTACCTACGTTATGTGAACACGTCATAAGATCAAGTGCTGACGATCTTTGAAGGTTCTTCCACGATATAGGGGGCTAAATGAAATTGTACGGATCACTTAACATCAACAGCCTATCAAAGGCCTCTCCTCACACGGAGCAGGTTTGAGCATTTATCACTACGGTTGCTCAATGCAGGTTGACGATTTTAAACTTATAATTAGAATTTATGCGCCCAGGTTTCCTGATGCATGATGTTTTCCTTCACCGTTTGTCAGTGGTGTCTAAACCATCTTAAACAGTACATATAACTCGGAAAAAGTCACATTGGTACTTGCCGTGTATATTGGTAGGTTTCGAACCAGCATCCTCATGCTTACCCGATAGTAGATACTCTTATCCAGAGGAATTATAAGTGCTTTTGTAAATTTGAAAAATAAAAGTAGTTATATTAAGATAGAGCTAGGCAGATCGTCAACGATGGTCGAATCAGATCACAAATTGGGTCATGATATACAAAAAAGAATGGAAAAAATTTTGAAAAAGAGAAGTGGAATTAGATAGGTTGTAGAGAATGATAAAGAAAAGAAGAGAACAGTAAGCAGCACAGTGTCATCACCCCTTTTCTTCCCGCCGGTATAATAAGAGCCAATTAAGGAATTATTTACACAGACAAATATCGCATTTTAATTAGTCTTTCCTCCAACCTAATCACCATCTTCACCCGTACACAACTCATTAACATTGTAAACAGCAATATTGACACGGTAATGACGTCACAACCCAGTTTTATCACCTTTCAATCAAAGCATTAATAAAATGCGTGAATAATATCCGTCACACTGGTTTAACGAGATGTTTTTCATCTTACATTAGTTCTTTCTGGCTCCTAGTTCACTTAGCGGTTATGTTGTGTTAAGTTAATTATTATTATTCTTCTTTTTGTGCAGTATGAGTGATATTTATCGTGTTCTTAGTGTTATTTGTGCTTGTTTGGTGTTTCATCTTGTTCGCTGTCGAAATGGTAGGTGGTTCTGTTATTTTATGGAGATAGGAAACTCTTCTATTAGTAAAACACCATGTGTATTCCATAAAAGAGGGATAACGCACTTGTAATGCCTTTGGTGTTCCAGGTGTCCATGGGCGACGCCGATTGCTTATCATGAGGTGATCCGTCTGCTCGTTTACCGGCTTATGCCATAAAAAAAAGGGTGTTCGCCTAGCAATTTCACTGATCTGCAACCGTGCCGAACCTGAAATAGGTGGTACAGCGCAATGACATTGGTCATCGCACATGTTTGTCATGACCATGCCACGGGCATGGCTTGAAAGTAGTCGAGCATCCTCGAACAGTTATATAAGTAAGCCGTGCCTATTTTCTTATTAATTTTAGTAGGCATACAATTTGGAATACATATAGATTATGGCCTGGAATATAAATATATAAATCTTTATTATGACCAAAACGGCCACAATTTTTACATTTTTAGTATCATGGCGATGTGAGCCAGAGCATAAAGACCCTGACTTCTAAACTAGGAAAAAACCTGTACCTTAGAAGTAGTGCACCTTCGAAATTATACTAACTAAACACCTATGTTAACAAATAAAAGTGATTTGATTTGATTTATACGAATAAGCCAATACGATTACAATTCCCTGGTTTTTTTTTAAGGGGGGAAAATCATCGATTGACTGCTCCCGCCTGGGTGAGGCGGGTGGGAGTTTCAGACTCTTACTGACTAAAAACCACCCCGTTCCTTCTCCTGAACGTCGAGCCGGAGCCCCGGTAACCCGTTAGGTTCTCCGCGACTCCGAATCGGCATCGGCCCTGTTGGGCCCCATCTGTGGTGGTCTGATGGCTCTTTTAGGCGCGCTCAAAAAATGTGGAACGCTTCACGATTTTGCGTGTCATCCTTGCGCAGGGGCCATGCTAATCTTTTCTGTGTCTTTCCAATTATAGTATACTAGCTTTTACCCGCGGCTTCGCTCGCGTCACTAAAGTATAAAAAGTAGCCTATGCGACATATACCAATACACACAGCGCCATCTATACCAATACTTTAGTTTTCCCTCGGGAATATCAAATTTTTCCGGGGTAAAAAGTACCCTATTATTTAATCCGGACTTCTAACTTTACTTCTGCAAAAATTCAAAGCAATCGGTTAAGTAGTTACGGCGTGAAAGCGGAACAAACAAACAAACATACTCACTTTCCGATTTATAATATTAGTAAGGATAAGGATGTACTGCCGAAGCAAGTACATAATTTCCTGGATAGGCCCATGATAACAGACAAAAAACAATAACACATAGTCTAATTATTATTCCACACAAGCCGCGGGCAGAATCCAGTCTAGTCATAAAATAACGCCAAAATCTGTTTTAATACGCGCGATTCAAACTATACCTAAGTTGTATATTCAATACAAAAACTTAGACCTAAATCGTAAATAAACTGTGAAGACTTTGTAAGTTCAGTTAATTTCTCTATTTGTTCATTTTTATGAAAGAACTTATGAATATAAAGATAGTGCCGCCGGCGGCGACTAGGGGGCACTACAGTCTCAACAGATTGAGTTCTTTGCAAACACTACAATGAATAAAATGTACAAAGTAACGCCGCGAGCCACTGCTAGTATTGTGCAAGTTCTTGTAAGTTGTTTTGTTTTTAAAAGTGTTCTTGCAGTTTAGCTTAAATCTTTAATCGTATTTTTTTCTCTGTTTAAGGCAGAATGTATTAAAAATACATATGATTTAAAGTATCAATAATATTTTTTAACAAAAACAAAAATACCTATATCTTACAAATTTAATTTAAATAAAAAAAGTAGCTTCACACTGGGATTTTCTCCTGTGCCGTGGGTTTGTTTACAAACATACAAGTTCATATACACATGCCACGCCCAGACACGAGCACAATTTGTGGATCACAAAGAGTTGCTCCGTGCGGGAATCGAACCTTTTTTTTATGGAATAGAGTGCAAACGTGCAGACCGAACACCTGATGGTAAGCGATCAGCGCCGCCCATGGACACCCGCAACACCAGAGGAGTCACAGGTGCATTGCCGGCCTTATGCTGGTCGTATTGGTTCGGAAATACCGTCATCAACAGATCATTCCACAGTTTTGCTGTGCGAGGCAGAAAGCATCGTGAGAAGCGCACAGTAGTGGCCTGCCAACCATTTATATGGTGGGGATGCATATTATTATGCTGTCGTGAGGGTCGATGGCGAAAAAATGCGGCAGGTACATACCAGGTCAAACAATTACTCAGAGCATTCCCCGTGGTATAAGCGATAGAAAATGCACAACGAGGCTACATCGCTAGGCATTGCCTGCTGCACATTGCGCGGCAGTCGATTGCCCAGCCACCACGCCAACCGTGCAGTCAATTTTTCAAATGTGGATTAGTTATCGATCTCACAAACTACAAACCGAAACTAGAATGTAACTGACTACACATTTTAGCACTGTGGCTGGGTGATTTCCACGCGGAACACATATTTTTAATTGGCCACATAATTGTTGTTCCATGTTTGACTATGATGTATTGTGCACCTATGTACGTTTATCGACGCACCCACGACATAGGAAAAATCATAATGTAAGTGTCGTGGTGGCCCGGAGGTTAAGACGCCAGTTTCCCATGCATGAGGATGAGGATGCGTGTTCGAAACCTATCAACGGCAAGTACCAATGTGACTTATTCCGAGTTATATGTACTTTCTAAGAGTATTTAGACACCACTGACCTACGGTGAAGGAAAACATCGTGAGGAAACCTGGACTTATACTTTTTAATTATGAGTTTCTTCCTAAGACCTTCTAAGTGTGAGAAGAGGCTTTGCTCAGCAGTGGGCATTTGATGTTGATGAGAAATACTTTAAAAAATATCATCATTTCGTATCTTTGCTGCGTAAATTAACCAACTTCACGGAAGACGTTTCACTTAAACTTAGGATTCAAATCCTCGACCCACAATAATTAGACAATTCCGTAAAACTAATTATAATTTAATTATTTAGTCTGTTATGATATTTAATGGAGAAAAAATATAAAGCAGAAACGAAAGAAAATGGAACATAAATAATGAACTGTTTTTAATTCATATAAAATTAATTATTTTACCTTAATACCCTGTAATTAAAATATAGTTAATTGGATTTAAATCAGAACAAATTTATTATCACTATGATAGTCCATTAACTCTGGCCATTCAAATAATAATATTTCAAACTATTATGATCTCAATAAACTGAGTTAAAACTGAGTTCGAGCAGAACAGAGTAGACGGATCACCTATCATATCTGTGCTTGTAACCACAGATATAGTATCTATATCTGCTGTGGTTACAAGTGTGTTACCGGTCTTATGGGGATTAGGAATTTGAGGGAGAGATGATTGTTGGAGATTCAGGGATTGGGAAGATTGGGGAGGTGGTGGTAATTGAAGCTTCGGTAATCTCACTACGAAACACAATGCAAGCGTCGTTTCACGTCGGTTTTCTGTGAGGCCTGTCGAGCCGGCCCATTCGTGCTAAAACAAGGTTCTCCCACACTTTAGAACATGCTGGGTTATTATTCAGCTGTTTTGCAACGTCACAATTTTGAGTTCTGCACAAAATCGTTCATCATCTATTTCAAAATTGATCGAAATATGTTTGCGTTGAAGTTTAATCGTCGAATAAGTAAAATTTTATTAACCGACTTCAAAACAGAAGGAATTTCTCCGTGTGACCTGTGTGTGTGTTTGTGTTGTGCGTTATTACCTCGCGATTGGCTGAACCGATTTTGATGCAGTTTTCAGAAAAGTGTTTGTTACATTTAGGAGAACGTTTCAGTATATTAATTAACCGACTTAAAGAAATAAAGGGTGAAGTCGGTATTTTTAAATATAGTTTGAAAAACAACTATTATTGAAACATTAATTGATAGCTGATATAGCTATATAAAACTAAGTTAAGTTCTAAATATGGCCACAGGTGGCGTTTTGGTTCTCTTTGTCATTCCTTTTTCGTTCCTCCATTTTGTTTTGTATTAGCTGTTGTTTTTCTATTATAATAAAAGTGTTGAAAGAAATTTTATTCAAATTAATTGAAACCACCCAATACCTGAATAATAACTCTAGACAATTTTATGTTACATTGTCTTGTTCGGAACAAATAGTCTGAAGCTACATAAAGTGCATTGTTATGTAACATTTTTCGAAAAGGACCGATATAAAATTCACTTAAAGAAAATATACAAAAAAAAATAATTGTCCGTAATAAAATCTTAGAACACGCATCATTACCATCCAATTTAAGTTAAGTGGGTACTTTACGAGGCATACTGTCCACATCCACATCTTAACTTAACCATAACTTGATCCCTAAGTTATTGCCCGCCGCAACTTTAAATGATACTTACGTGCCTCCTCAACTTACATGTACAGTCAGCTAACTTTACAGGATAGAAAATAAGAACTCGTGTAGATGCTACGCCGCGATGCTGTATATTTTTTAAGTGAGGAAAATCGTCGAATGTCTTCTTCCACCTGGGTGAGGCGGGAGGTAGTGTCAGACTCTTACCGACTAAAAACCACCCCGTTCCTAAGTACTCCTGCACTTCGAGACGGAGCCCCAGTAACCCGTTAGGTTCTCCGCGGCTACGTATCGGCATCAGCCCTATTGGGCCCCATCCGTGGTGGTGTGATGGCTCTTTGAGGCCCGCGCTTACGGTGGCCGGAGATCGTGCGATGCTGTGTATACGTTTGTCATAAATTCAGGAGTGCGATGGCGGTGCAAGGACGGTGTTGTGTACACGAGCCCTTAAGATTGATTCAGTACAGAAACAGTTCACATAGGTAATCGACGGCTCGTGACCGTCCACTGCCAAAATATTTAGCTCCCTATAAAAAAGAGGGATCTGGCATAATCTCCGCGCCTTGCGGACAGTTGGAGATCGTCGTTCAAAGGCTCAGCTTTATCAGAGAATGCTGATGTTTACATTGTGGCTTATTCACGAACTGTTTGACGAGGAACTCGACTAGTTTCAAGCCATGTTAGAGGCTCATATTCATGAGCAGTATACCGCGATCGGCGACGCGGCAATTGTCGCGCTGCTACTGGCTCGGTTGCGCGGCGGTTTATCCTCGAAGGGGTAGAGGGTAGAGGTGCACATTACGACACTTAATGCCACTATACAATGCAACACCCACTTTTTACCATTTATGAGTCCCAAGTAATAGGAGCCAGCCTATCATTATACCGGGCGCAATTCCAGACTCTAAAATTATAATATATTATAAAAACCTAGTAGTACTTTGCCCGGGCCAGGAATCAGAAACCCCCGCCCGGTAGTCGCACTTGCGATCGCTCGGCCAATGAGGCAGTAGCTATTGATATACTATTAATAATAGTGTAATTGGTCTGCTTACGAGGCTCCCATTAGTTCCTGTCTCTGAACCAATCTTTTTTTCTCACCTGCATACTAAATAAGTATGCTGACTGTACGTGTGCCTACGTTGTAACGTGTATCTAAGTTAAGGTGTACTTGAACTTTCACTTATCCTGGTAAACGTTTGGCGTATAGAACGCGATGCTTAAACTTAGAAGCGGAATAAGTTACGAAGTATTTTCATCAAAATAGTTTTGTTGTTATATTATTATTTTGTATTAGTGGGTTTTTTAAAAAAGAAGTCTCAGTAGTTGCACGGAGTCTGGAATTGTGCTTGGTATATGTCAATAGGCTCACTCCCTATTACATGGAACTCATAACATAAATAGTGTTACATTTTAACCGTAATGTGCACCTCTGTCGATCCTACCCTACCTTTGCCTACCCCTTCGGGGATAAAAGGCGTGATGTTATGTTATGTTCATAAAAAGGTTATATTTTGAAGTCAATATTTCAGGATCAATTAACTTTCATTTGGTTCATTAATATTGGCTAAAATTTTATATTTTTATCCTTAAAGAGTTCTTTTAAAATTTAATATAATTATTCAGTCTTTCATGTCTTCAAAAGCTTTACATTATTACTAAACCATTTACAAATTGCATGAAAACTTCCGCTCGGTTTCATCACTCGGCTCCTATTGGTCGCAGGGTGATGTTTTATAGCCTATAGCCTTTCTTTTGTGAGATATACTAAATTAATTATTATGTTTTCGGCCTACTCACCTTTAGAAACTCGACTAATTTCAAGCCATGGTTTGAATTTAGTCGAGTTCCACGTCAAACAGTTACGTGAATAAACCAAAAACATTATAACAAAAAGAACTATTCAAATCAGACCTTTAGTTCCGGAGAATAGCTCCTTCAAACAAACAAACAAAAATGTCTTCAGCTTTGTATAATAAGATTTAAGATTATTCTCTCTCCCCGCTCCCGCTCCGTTTACAGTGTAACACTCACCTTACAGTCGATATCTCTGGCGTTGCGTAAGGAATGATAATGTCCACGTTTGAATGAATAACCTCCAATGGAAATGAGAGTGCTTTTACATTGATCTGTGATCCGTCTTCTTGCTGTGGTGTAATATTGCGGGGTAAATGTTACTTTGATATTCTGAAGAAGTCTTTAGTTGTGTTCCTGGACTGATAGACAGACAACGCGTTTGTACTTCTAGTTGTTAAATACTATAGCCTTAGCAGATAGGTAAGACGGAGTACTAAAAGAAATCTTCTAGAAATTCATAAAGGGAAATAAATAATCCAGATTTTTATATATCATTTTGATTTTGGGAATAAATAGGTATTTTAATTAGGAAATAGGTTTGAACTATGGCACTTCTTCAAATAACCAAACTTTTACATCGCAAATGATATCTACTAGACCTATCGATTCATCCTCAATCGATCCCATCGACGGTCGATGTTTATCGATTGGTAGCTTTAATTGATCAACGGTTTCCGATTAACTAACCAATCGATCGGTTGCCGGTCGATGGCATCGGTCAACGTTGATCGGACGGGCAGTAGGTGACAATGGGAAACTCAATCAGTTGACGACGTTGATCGACGTCGACGATACATTCTATCATCGATCGATCGATTGGTCTGGTAACACCCTTAGTCAATTACATTCTTTCATTCTTTCCCCCAGTGACATACGTAGGCCGGTTGACACCAGACTGCGTGTCCAGCTACCATAGGATCATACTCTCAAGACGAGTGCCTCCGCGAACCTACCTCTATTTCCACGAGGCCATGACACAGGACCAGATGAACAGAGATGGAGAAGAGCCGAAAGAAGAGGATACGGATGGGCAAGTTGATGTAAGATTTTAATTATTAATAATCATGTATAAGAATATGGATAACAGATTTTGTTATTTTTGATTTCATTGGCATGCGAAAATTTTGTCGAATCCTTACATTTTTTTTAAGTTTCTATGTTAGATATTATATAGAGTCTATAATATCTTTATGGTCGTTTTTAGGATGGCTTAAAATGACTTACAATCCGAAAAGTACCTAATTATAAACCCATACTACAGCTAATTGGTCGAAGTCTTCACCACCATAATATTGATTTCAAAATCCTTTTTTCTCGTCCATCCTACAGCTCCAATGGAGGATAGTGGGAGGCAAACAGGTCTCCATAAAAGTGGTTCCCTATCAAGTTCTCTACGGCATGTACTGCGGAGGCACTCTCATCGCTCCGGACTGGGTCATCACTGCTGCGCATTGTAAGTGAGTACAAGAACGTATTAAGTACCTTATTATCATAATTAGTACATATTCATGATAAATGTGTATTTATAGAAAATCATTCTACCCAGCATTATGAGGATCATAAATGATATTATCAACATGCTATTGATGAGAGAGCAAAACTGTTTATCAAAAGCTTTTTTTAATGGGGGAAAATCATCGAATGCCTTCTGCCGCCTAGGTAAGGCGGGAGGGAGTGTCAGACTCTTACTGACTAAAAACCACTCCGTTCCTACTCCTGCACTTCGAGCCGGAGCCCAGGTAACCTGTTAAGTTCTCCACGGCTTCGTATCGGCATCAGCCCTATTAGGCCCCATCCGTGGTAGTCTGATGGCTCTTTGAGCCGCGCGCGGAACTCGACGCGCCACACGCTCAGATTTGGTTCTGGTCGGGCGGCGAGGTACCCATGCTCGCCGTTCACGGGCCCGTGCTTGCGGTTTATCAAAGGCATAGTAGGCGATTTTGATATTACCAAAAACAAATCAGATAATTTTTCCCACACTTTGTATCGCACAGAAATAAACCATAACACTTACGAACTTACTTTTGTATAGCATCTACTTCTTCTCAAAATCTTCTATTATCTAATTACAGGGACAAAGAAAAATTCATCTTAGCTGGATCTACACAGCGGAGTCAAGCCACCAAGTACATGATCTGTGCTCACTTCATGCATCCCCTATGGAACACCACGCACCTTCACACACACGATTATGATTACCAGCTGGTCCTGCTGGAGCAGTCAGTACCGGTGACTCCCAACTCCCGGCCCATAGCTATAGGGAACGTGGATGATGTTAGAGAAGGAGAGATGATCACAGTCAGTGGTTGGGGACATACTAAGTACAAGGTAATGTAGAATTTTCTTCATAGAATGGTACACTATAAAGAATGTTTTTAGTTTAACACGTGGGCAAGCAAGACTGCAGTGATATTTAAGCCTTACAGGAAACTGGTTTGAAACAATGTTTACGTAGTGTTTCGCAGTATGAGTGAGGCTTCATTCTACACCTCTACTCAATCCCCAAAGGCCGGTAATGCACTTGCAGCTCGTAAGCTTTACACTTGCAACGTCAGATGATCCATCTACTCGTTTGTCAACCTATTCCATTTCCAACACAACGACGGAGTTTCTTACCAGAGTTACCAGTATCTAATTCTCCACTCGAATCTACTATTTGCATTATAAATATTCAGAATGAATGTCTTAATTTTAGCAACGTGTGATGCAAGACATAGTGCGTCGAGTCCGTGTGCCGGTGATGGCGCATGAGATCTGCAGGTCTCTCCCCCTCATGAACTACAAAACCATCACTCCGAGGATGTTCTGTGGTGGATACCTGAATGGAAGCAAGGATTCTTGTCAGGTAATGATTACTTAGGTTAGTTTAAAAAAGAGAGGATGTTGAAAATGGATCATAATGTATGTCTACAATATACTCATTATTTATTGACCGTAAAGTGTCACCATTCTTAGTCTTGTTTTGGGTTTCATAAGAGCTGACTAAGGGCTGAAGACATGGCAGCAAAGTTTTCTAAAAAAAATTAAATGTTTTAAACTGCTGTCTGGAACCCCCCTCTTTTGTGTGGAGGAGCCTAATACATACAGGCAGCTACTAGACGTAACTTACTCAAGAGATATGATAGTCTTTAAAACGCATTGTACCACTAGTAATTACTGTTTCGTGTTCCTAGGGTGATTCCGGAGGACCAGCGATTCTCCACGGCAAGCTAGTAGGGCTGGTGTCGTTCGGAGTAGGATGTGCGATGAAGGACCAGCCAGGAGTGTACAGCAACATACCACTGGTGCGCAACTGGATACGGCAGGTCACTGGCCTGCCACTCTGAGCCATACGCTCTGAGTACTTAGTGCAGGTTTGTTTTACATTAATGTGATCGACAAGTTTATGACGTTCAGCGTTCTGATTGGCTGCTCCACGTCACCTAACCAATCAAACGGCTTAACGAGGTAACATTTCGATCGCGTTGACGTAAAACAAATTCACACTAGCTACTCTGGTCGTTTTCTTCTGGTCTTGTTTTCTTTGCAAATATATTTTGTTAGGTTTTTTTTAGTTTGGTTGTTTTATTTTACCTTTGGCGTTGATGCTATCTTTTTTGAAATAAAGATGTTAAGAGATTATAGGAGGATCTGCTCAATTTGTCGTAATGGTATAATGATTGGAGCTGCTTTATGGAATAAAATCATTAATATTGTATATGAGTCTCATCATCATCATAGAGGTATATGAGTGTCATCTTTTCCACAATTTTGGTCTAAGTGGTTTCTAATGTAAACTGCTACAAAATATTTCGACTACAATCAAATACCATGCATTCAAATACCGTACCCCATCGATGAGATGAAGCCTTTGAAAAAAACACGCACGCAGTCGTAACATTATACCTTCCGCACATAAATACATAAAAAAGCTCTCGAATTATTTATATCTGTTTGTGCGTCAGATTGACGGGAAGATGGCTCTGTACTCGTTCGGGGACGGTTGCAAAAACATGGTAGGGCTCATCAATCTTCTACAAGTCGTAAGAGTTAACTGAGCGAAATGGAACGCCAGGGTAGAGAGCACAGGGTACGCCTCGTAAAACTACGCCAAGGTCGATCCCATTATTGTTGGAGGAAGGTGGCTTTCTTGACAGAAATGACCATTAATGGTTTGTTGGGGATTATTTGGATGGCTTATAGGCGTTTTGACCTATTTAAGGATGCGAGGGTGGACGACGGACGTGTACAAACTGACTCCTTAATGAGCAGTGTGGCAACAGGTTATTTGGTTATTATCAGCAACAAACTCTGAGCGAAAGTGTGAAATGAAATAAGGCAGGCAACTACCCAAATATAAGTAAGAAATAAACATAAACAATAAAATGTGGTTGTAATAGAAAGTTCATCCCAGAGAACAAATAATAACTGATATATTCAATTTCTTATAACCATTATTGTAACAGTCTAGTTAATTATTATATTGCGTATTATACAGTCCACAAGTACATTATTTCTCTCCACTTAACCATCGAACGAACAAAACATTTAGTGTTCTAGAAAAGCTACAACACAACTCACATATTGCTTGTCACTCACATCCCTGAAAATCTCGAAAAAATGTCCTGAAGCAAAGAATTGAACGTTAACTCATAAAAAATAGGGCGAAATACTTCTAGGCATGTAGTCTGGAATGCTAGTTAAATAGAGTTGGCAAGCCACAGTCAATTCCGCTCACACTTGGTGCCCAAACAACGATCACAAGTTGATTTTTCGCATTACATTCTACATTCACATATTCAGGAGTAGCACCATGCGGTGGAGGGGGGGAGATAGTTGGAGAAGATATACGGGTGAATATTGTGAGCGGTAACGGTAGCGTTCTGCGGTAGCTGCATATCTGATGGTAAGTGGTCATCATAGTCTATTGTATATCACCAACACTAATGTTTTTACGAAAGCGTTGTAAGAACTAGCTTGTTCCCAAAAAAAGAAATTGTTGCATGTAAAACGGACTTGACATTTGACATTTAGACAACTGTGGGAGAATCATGCTTCGGCACGAATGGGCCGGATCGACCGGAGTGAAGCAACGCTAGCGTTGTGTTTCGTCGTGTGAGTGAGGTTACAGGAGGCCAAATTATCCTCCCCTTCCCCAATCTCCCCAATTCCTGAATCCCCAACGATCCTCAAACTCCCGGTAATCCCAAAAAGGCCGGTAATGCACTTATAACGCCTCTGGTGTTCCAGGTGTCAATGGGCGATGCCGATTGCTTATCATCAGGTGATCCGTCTGCTCGTTTACCGGTTTATGCCATAAAAAAATGAAAACTTTCACTTACTGGACAAAACGTTCTTGGTTCTTCGAAGAAAAGCAATCAGCATTAAATGACTTTATCTCTATATTAGAATGCGTTGATACTCAGGCGCCATCCCATCTTCCAAACTCAGCGTGTCGAGCCGGTGCTGCCGCTGCTGCTGCCGAGAACCTCAAACGGCGAAAGTATGATAGCCTGATTGGCAATTATGCTTTCGAACCGTTTGGGGTTGAAACTTTAGGGCCGTGGGGCCCAAGTGCACATCTTCTTTACAAAGATATTGTAAGGAGGATGGTTGACACTTCAGGTGATCGAAGGGCTGGCTCCTACCTTGGGCAAAGGTTAAGCATTGCCATTCAACGTGGCAATGCTGATTGCTGCCAGAGTTTTGGGCACCCTACCTCACGGTAGCGACGAGGAAAATGTTTTCTTTGATGCCTTATGATTTATTTATTTTTTAAGGTGTAGGTAAATATTTTAGTTTTAAATTATTTTTTTTTTATATTTTAAGTTGTATATATTAATTTTTATCTTGTATTGTATATATAGTATTATTTAATTTAGTAATAGTTATTATTAATTTTAGAAAATAAAAGATTGTTGTAATATTATAGTAACAATATTTTACTAACTACTATTTTAGTAACCAATTACAATAATGACATGACGTATGTGCATGTAGTACCTAGTGAAAAGAATGATTAACATATTTTTTGTAGATTTATATTAATATCAGTTACGTTCTAGTCTAGATAGTACTTTTGAGAATCATCATAAATTCTCAAGCAATTCAAAGCTACCTTCACCACAGCTTCCTCTTCCACATTCCGCACCCTAAGCGTCTCCTTGCCAACTCACGACCCGTACACACCACCCCCTATCTGCATTCAGTCAGCATCGTCGCGAGTGTTTTCCGACCGTTTTCGCAGCGCTTCGCAACGCTTCGCAAGAGGATGGTCCATGATTTATTTACACAGGGATGCTGCACGCGTGACATCTCTCTCGAGCTCTTATTTATGTGCGTCCTACGTCCTGATTTGACAACGTACCGTCTTGAAATATCGTTGGATTGTGTTCTAGCGTTCAAAACAGATGTGTTTCAGTTTGTGAAGTCCCTTTTTTAGCTTAGTGTTGGTTTGATTGTGTTACATAAGTTGATTAATTGAAATATACGGTTTACTCATGCGAAATAATGGATTGAACCTCTTTTAAATCATTAATAGCTATTTAATTAGTTTTGTTTATTTACATTACATAAAACGTAACTAAATTTATTGGCTTATAATTATTTCTAATTAATTTTATACATTTCCTGTTAGTTGATTTAATTTAATTTATTAACTGAAATCCATTTGGTTAGTAAATAAAAAAAAGCTTATAATACTACCTCTAGTGTCAGTACTTTTTTTTTATTTATTTATCGTATTTACAATAAGTACAGGATTATCCATTTAAAATAGCAACCAAAATCCACTAAGGTTTAAACTTGTGCTATCATGAATCAGTATCGAAATCGAATTTTTATAAAATGAGGTTTTACAAATATAGACTTAAAATTACCCGTTACAATTTAAAGCATAATTGTCTTACGCCACATGCATGCAGGCGTATCTAATACCCCAGTATGTGGCTGTCCTATTTGTCTGCTATAGTCTTCAGGATGCTATTGGAGCTGACGCGAACCCTATGCATAACTGAAACATAACGTTTTCGTAAGAGATAGTATTAAGATAGTAGCGAATAGTTTATGAATGAAGTTCATCCATATTTATTGACCAATCATAAAAATAATACAACATTAAACCATTATAGTTACATCACGACGTTACTTTAGCTTATTTCTCAGTAAAACTAAATTGGATGTATCTTCATTATTATTGCTTATTCTTATTTATAATGTACTGAAACGGAACACTATTTTATTTATAGATAGGAATTAGTTTCCCTTTCCTTTCCACAGATCGAATAAAAATATTTTTCCTTAATGACCGAATGAAGCCCACATACTGTCTCATAACAAAAACAAATACGTTTGTAAATACTTTTATTGAACGATAATCGAATAACAATAATCGTAAGTATACATTAAAGATTAGATTTACTACAGCCGGAAATCCTAAGTACATTGTTTTGCAAAAATATTGAAGAAAATCATCACGAAACGTTTGTCACATAAATAAATCTGTCGCAATCCAATATGAAATATGAGCGCTCTCCCCTAGCCACCCTTTCAATAAGAAATCGCAGAAAAACAAAATACTTATCGTGGGCCCGGTATGGACATTAAACCATCCAATACTGTTACCGCCAGTATTTCCCCTGGGCTCCCTACCCTGCCTCTTCCCTGGCTAAATTAAAAACTTTGCCATAATAATGACGATCACTTCATTCCCCTGTCGACTCTTTTTCATTAATACTCTCTTATTGGTTTTCTGATTTCCTGTTGTTTTTAATATCTTTGCTATTTTTATAATAAAGTATGTTCGCATGCAAGATAACATGCGCATGTTTGTTTGTTAAATATGTATATACGGAATAATCTTTACACATTTTTCTACTTAAATTCAATTATTTTGAACTTGAAAATATAACAAACCTACTCCATGATTTATTTATCACCAACTGTGTAATACTTGGCAGCAGACACAGTATCATGCATCTCCTTACTTATCATACCGGTCACGTACCCAAAAGATCTCAAGAGGTATACTTCAAAAACGCGTGTCAGCTTTTCATCATGGCTGCCATGGCGTATTGTGCAGCGGGAACTGTCCACCTTTTAGGGAAAACAATGTGCCCTCTCCCTGATATCATAATATTAAATTACTTTTGTGAACCTCTGACGCAAATAGGCCGAGCGGTCACCATTCTGTTCGTCTATTGTTTTGCATTATTTAGCCTACTTTTAACGTTGTTTTCTGACCCAATTCTTGCTAGTCCTGTCTTTATGCAGATCCTTGTGTATTATAGAGCTGTTAACACTTCATTTTGTGATGAGAAGATGAGAAGAGACATGAAGTTAGAATTTTGTAAAATTCATTTTATTATTTTGTAATGAATCCTGCTTATTGCTATGCGCTAGTCTAAGCTTTATAGATGTTATAATTAAGCACTACCTATTTACAATTTTTCATTAATATCACTATACCATATTGTTATTCAAGGGTTAAATGGCCAAAATCAAGTTGTCACTGCCAGCTTTTAAACTTAAAACAGTTTCTAAACGTGAAGTATGACATGATTAAACA